GGTTCACACCATTCTCCTGCCTCAGTCTCCCGAGTAGCTGGAACTACAGGCGCCCGCCACCACGCCTGGCTAATTTTTTGTATTTTTAGTAGAGACAGGGCTTCACTGTGTTAGGCAGAATGGTCTCAATCTCCTGACCTCGTGATCTGCCCACCTCGGCCTCCCAAAGTGCTGGGATTACAGGTGTGAGCCACCGCACCCGGCCCCTGTTTTTGGTTTTGTTTTTGTGACAGGGTCTCACTCTGTTGCCCAGGCTGGAGTGCAATGACACAGTCTTGGTCACTGCAACCTCTGCTTCCAGGGTTCAAATGATTCTCCTGCCTTAGCCTCCCGAGTAGCTGGAATTACAGGAGAGCACCACCATGCTTTGCTAATTTGTTTTAGTAGAGATGGGGTTTTATCATGTTGGCCAGGCTGGTCTTGAGCCACCGCACCCGGCCTAAGCTGCTATGTTTTGGGGTAATTTCTTACAAAGCAGTGGATAATTAACACAGAACCTCTCCCTGTTCCTTGCCTTGGGACTAAAACACATGAGACTAGCTTTAACAAACAGGATGTTAGCTCATGTGGTGTGAATAGAGGTGTGAGGTATGCCCCCCAATAAACCTTTTGCAGTTCCAACTCCATCTCAGTATCTACTGATCCTTAACTGTGACGCCTGGAGAAGCCAGACAGAAAAAAACCAGAGGAAAAGGAAGCCAGGGAGCTGTTACATAAAACTTAATGCGCAGCTGTGAGACAGACTCCAGCACAGACATGGGTGAACTATATGAAGTGGCCAGTCTCCTCAACAATTGGGTAGCTAATGAACAGACTTACAGGACATGTGCCAATTTGCGGTTATTAAGAACATGCAAGCCGGGCGCGGTGGCTCAAGCCTGTAATCCCAGCACTTTGGGAGGCCGAGACGGGCGGATCACGAGGTCAGGAGATTGAGACCACCCTGGCTAACACGGTGAAGCCCCATCTCTACTAAAAAATACAATAAAACTAGCCAGGCGAGGTGGCGGGCGCCTGTAGTCCCAGCTACTCGGGAGGCTGAGGCAGGAGAATGGCGTAAACCCGGCAGGAGGAGCTTGCAGTGAGCTGAGATCCGGCAACTGCACTCCAGCCTGGGCGACAGAGCGAGACGCTGTCTCAAAAAAAAAAAAAAAAAAAAGAAGAACAACATGCAAGTTAGGCCAGGCGTGGTGGCTCAAGCCTGTAATTCCAGCACTTTGCAAGGCTGAGGCAGACAGATCACCTGAGGTCAGGAGTTTGAGACCAGCCTGGCCAGTATGGAGAAACTCTGTCTCTACTTAAAAAAAAAAAAAAAATTAGCCAGGCATGGTGGCGTGAACCTGTAATCCCAACTACTAGGGAGGCTGAGACAGGAGAATCACTTGAACCTGGGAGGCGGAGGTTGCAGTGAGCCAAGATTGTGCCACTGCACTCCAGCCTGGGCGACACAGCAAGCCTCCATCTCAAACAAACAAACAAACCATGCAATTTAAATGAACAATACATTTCAATTTCTGGGTTGTATACTGTGACAGAAAAAATTCTATGATGGTACCTGTGGCACTTCCTATTGTGACACTATGATTAGTTTAGGTTATCTGGCAAAGCTGAGGGATTTTGCAGATGTTCCAAAACAGTTGAAAGTCTTTGAAACAGGGCTTGGCCGATGGTAGTGGCTCACACCTGTAATCCCAATACTTTGGTAGGCTGAGGCCAGTGGATCACTTAAGGCCAGAAGTTTGAGACCAGCCCGGGCAACATAGTGAGGACTGGTCTCCACTTTTTTTTTTTTGAGACAGAATCTCATTCTGTCACCCAGGCTGGAGTGCAATGGTGCAATCTTGGCTCACTGCAACCTCCACCTCCTGGGTTCAAGTGATTCTCCTGCCTCAGCCTCCCGAGTAACTGGGACTATAGGTGCATACTACCATGCCCGGCTAAACAAAAAAATTTTTTTAAATTAGCCAGGCATGGTGGTGTGTATGCCTGTAATCCCAGCTATTTGAGATGCTGAGGCAGGAGGAATGCTTGAGCCCAGGAAGTTGAGGCTGTAGTAAAGTATGATTGCGCCACTGCAGTCCAGCCTGGATGACAAAGTCTGGTGAGGTTCTGTCTAAATAAATAAATGAGAAGGCTTAGTTACCGACTCTTGCTGGTGGCCTGAAGAAAGGAACCTACTGTGAGCTCTACAGCTGCAAAGAAATGGATTCAGCCAACTGAATGAACGTGAAAGTAGATTCTTCTACAATCAAGTCTACAGATGTGAATGTAGCCAGCTGATAGCTAGATTGCTACTTCTGGAGATCCTAAACAGAGGGCCCAGTTAAGCTATGCCCAGACTCTTGACTCACAAGAACGGTGAGATAATAAATACATGTGGTTTTTCCCGGGAGGTGGAGCTTGTAGTGAACCGAGATGGTGCCACTGCACTCCAGCCTGGGCAACACAGCGAGACTCTGTTTCCAAAAAAGAGCAGAAAAAAATGTGGTTTTTAAGCTGTTAATTTTGTGGTAAGATGTTACACAAAAACAGAAAACAGGCCAGGCATGGTGGCTCACGCCTGTAATCCTAGCACTTTGGGAAGCTGAGGCGGATGGATCACGAGGTCAGGAGTTCGAGACCAACCTGGCCAATATGGCGAAACTCTGTATCCACTAAAAATACAAAAAATAGCTGGGTGTGGTGGTGCATGCCTGTAGTCCCAGCTACTCAGGAGGCTGAGGCAGGAGAATCGCTTGAACCCAGGAGGTGAAGGTTTCAGTGAGCCGAGATCGTGCCACTACATTCCAGCCTGGGTGACAGAGCAAGACTCCATCTCAAAAAAACAAAACAAAAAACCAGAAAACAATAGAGACATGCAAAGCTTAGAGAACATGAGTCTCTGCTGGGTGAACATGGGTGGCAGTGACCTTCTCACACTGATGGTAGAAGACGTATGAAAGGAAATTTCATAGTATATGACTAAAACTATTTTAAATGTTTATGCCATTCTTTCTAGCTTCTAGGAATTGTACTTGTAGCAGTTCTTCCAAAATGTGCTTCAGTAATTAAACAGCGGATTTGCATTGAAGGTTTACCATGCAGAGCGCACAGGTATTAGCTAATGCAGTCCTCATACAGCAATGTATGTTATACTCTGCTCTGATGGTTAAATGACAAAGTTTTAGAGAAATGAAATCTTTTGACTCAGTTTATGCAACTAGAAAGCATATGTGCTAATAAGCAGATGCTAATTGGCTTGAATCCATTAGTCACTCTTTTTTTGTTTGTTTTCTCTTGTGAGACAGGGTCTCACTCTGTCACTCAGGCTGAAGTGCAATCACAGCTCACTGCAGCCTTGATCTCCTGTGCTCCAGTGATTCACCTGCCTCACCCTCTCAAAGTGTGGGATTACAAGCATGAGCCTCCACGGCTGGCCCATAGTCACTCAATCCCCTGTTTAATTACTATCGAAATAAATGCAATAATGGATGCTTGGCTCAAGCATATATTGTTGAATATTAATTATCTAACCCAGGGGCTGGATACGGGGTGTTCGCACAATTCTTTTTTTTTTTTTTTCTTGTGAGACAGAGTCTCACTCTGTCATCCAGGCTAGAGTGCAGTGGTACAATCATGCCTCAACATCCCAGGGCTCTGGGGATTCTCCTGCCTCAGTCTCCTGAGTAGCTGGGACTACAGGTGCGTGCCACAAAGCCCGGTTAATTTAAAAATTTTTTTTTTTTTAGAAATGAGGTCTCGCTATGTTGCTCAGACTGTTCTCGAACTCCTGAGCTCAAGCGACCCTCCCTTCCCAGCCTCCCAAAGTGCAGAAAGCACAGGTGTGAGCCACTGGGCCGGGCCCACACAATTGTTTCAAATTTTCTGCCTGTTTGAAAATGTTCTTAATACAATGTTGGGGTAAGGTAAATGCAATATTTATTTTGCAGTTCTTACCTCTTTGGCTGAGGGAATTGCTTGCTCCTCAGAGACTCTTTCTTTCTCTTTTCTTCCTTCCTTCCTTCCTCCCTCTCTTTCTCCCTTTCTCCCTTTCTTTCGCGACTGAGTTTCACTCTTGTTGCCCAGGCTGGAGCGCAATGGCACGATTTCGGCTCACCGCAACCTCCGCCTCCCGAGTTCAAGCGATTCTCTTGTCTCAGCCTTCCTGAGTAGCTGGGACTACAGGTGCCCGCCACCACGCCCGGCTAATTTTTTGTATTTTTGGTAGAGACTATTTTTTGTATTTTTAGTAGTTTCACCATGTTGGCCAGGCTACTCTGGAACTCCTGACCTCAGGCGATCCGCCCGCCTCGGCCTCCCAAAGTGCTGGGATTACAGGCGCGAGCCACCGCGCCCGGCCCTCCTCAGGGAGTTTCTAAACTGTCAGTAAGCCACTGGTTTTCCCTGTATTCATAAAAAAACTGACAGGAACGCCCAGGATCCTAAAGTGAGCTTCAATCTCAAGATAGTCAGCGACCGCCCTCCGGGCCAGCGTCGGGGCCTTGAGGGGCCTCTGGAAAGTGAATCACAGGGAGCATCTCGGGGTTTCAGGATTTTGGCTGTCCGCTGCCCAAGCCTTGGCATCACGGGCGCTTTTCCCGCTCACGTTCAGGTCCCTTCAAGGTCGGCGCCAGGTATCCTCCCAGAACACGGGCACACAGCCACGCCCAGGACCCCCACTGCCTACCTGCTGCCGCTAGAGGGCGCCATCGTCGCGGCTAACGCAACCTCAGGAAGGAAGCGGTGGAGCACCACATCGCGGGGTTTTCTGGGAGATGGAGGCGGTGGAAGCATACGCATGCGCAGCGACTGCGCCGTAGTGGGCGCGCATGTGCAGCGGAGGGGCGTGATGACCCGGAGTCTCCTAGCCACCGCAGAGTAGTGCGGGGCCGGGGGCTCTAAGGGGTAGCCGCAACCTGGACGGCCCGGGACACAGCTGCGGGTTCCGGCCAACAGGCCCGGAGTCGCGGCCTCGGCTCCGCTGTGGGTGCACGGGCTGGGGCTGCGGCGACTCCTGTGCGCTCCGCGTCTGCGGCTGGTAGGAATGGGGATCGTCCCCAGATCCCGCCTTCCGGGCAGGGCCTCCCCTGCCAGCGATCCTGCCCAGAGTCCAAGGATCCTCCTCGCTTCTCGTGGACTGCGGTGTCAGCCGCCCGAGCCGGTCCCCGGACACCTGGCCAGGTGACGGCCCCCAACCTCCGCCTGGCAGGGGGTGGTCTGCGAGTCCCCCTCATCCCCGGCAGACGTTCCCGAGCTCCGGAGGGAAAAAAGGACGAGGAAGGGGCTGCTTATGAGTCTGTCGGTGTTGATTTAGTAGTTGTGGAATGTGAGCCCTGGGGAAATAAGTGGAAGAGGCATGGACCGTGTGGCTCCACTGGGGCGTTCGCGAATGCCTCCTGGAGGAGGAGACCAACCAGAAAGAAGAGGCAGCGTCCAGCAACTGGACAAAGGCCAGAGGGCCTTTCTAGCAAGAGGACTGGGGTGAGCAGAAGCTGATCCGGCTCTTTATTCCTGGGCGCAAGTGCCGTGTGGCATAGGTCAATGAAGGCCTGAAAGGGGTGTTGAGCCAGCAACAAAATGCCTTGAGTGCACCATTAAAGAAGCAACAACTATGGCTCACGCCTGTAATCCCAACACTTTGGGTGGCCCAAGCGGGCGGGTTGCCTGAGCTCAGGGGTTCAAGACCAGCCTGGCCAACATGGTGAAACTCCGTCTCTACTAAAAATATAAAAATTAGCCACGCGTGGTGGCACGGGCCTATAATCCCTGCTACTGGGAAGGCCGAGACAGGAGAATCGCTTGAACCGGGGATGCAGAGGTTGGAGGCTGCAGTGAGCCGAGATCACGCCACTGCACTGCAGCCTGGGCTATAGAGCTAGACTATCAAAAAAAAAAAAAAAAAAAAAAACCAAAAACGGAAAAAGATCACATATGTTGGCCAGACAAGGTGGCTCATGCCTGTAACCCCAGCACTTTGGGAGGCTGAGGATTACTTGAGCCCTGGAGTTTGAGAGCAGCCTGGGTAAAATAGTGAGACCCCATCTCTACTAAAAAAATTAGAGGCACGGTGGTGTACACCTGTAGTCCCAGCAACTGGGGAGGTTGAGATGGGAGGATTGCTTGAGCCCATGAGGTCAAGGCTGCAGTGAGCTATGATCATGTCACTGGACTACATCCTAGACAACAAAGACTCCATCCCAGTCTTTGTTTTGAGACTCCAGACCCAGTCTCAAAAACTACAAAAAAGAATATACACTTGTGCCAGCACAATACTTAGCACTAAGGATTTCTCTTTGCCACTGAACAGAAAAAACACCCTTGTTGTTATTAATGATGTTATGCTTTATTGTTAACTTTATTACTAGATGATTACTTTTACTCATCTCTTCTTTCATACTCTTCTATTCTTCTGATATTTGTGTGTTTTAGTGCCTGTTTTAGCCCATCTGCTTAATATGGTACATTTTAGTATCTAATAAAGGGTGCCTGACATTTTTTTTTTTTTTTTTGGAGACAGAGTATCGCGTTGTTACCCAGGCTGGAGTGCAGTGGTGCGATCTCAGCTCACTGCAACCTCCGCCTCCCAGGTTCAGGCAATTCTCCTGCCTCAGCCTCTTGAGTAGCTAGGATTACAGGTGCCCGTCACCACACCCGGCTAATTTTTGTATTTTTAGTACAGGTGGGTTTCACCATGTTCGCCAGGCTGGTCTTGAATTCCAGACCTTAAGTGATCTACCCACCTCAGCCTCCCAAAGTGCTGGGATTATAGTCGTGAGCCACGGTATCCGGCCTCTGACTATTCTTTTAACCAGATACTGTTGGACTTTTCATATGATCTTTAAGTTGTTTTGTTCTGTGAGCTGGCAGGGGCGGGGAGGGGGGAGTCTTTGAATTGGAATTGCTATAATTTTGTTTAGTAGTTTTGTGAAGATCTTTTTTTTTTTTTTTTTGAGACCGAGTGCTAGGAATGCAGGGGTGAGCCACCATGCCCAGCCAATTTTTATATTTTTAGAGTTGGGGTTTTACCATGTTGGCCAGGCTCATCTTGAATTCCTGACCTCAGGTGATTCCCCCAGCCTGGCCTCCCAAAGTGTTAGGATTACAGGCGTGAGCCACTGTGCCCAGTCTGATATTTTAATACTTTAAAAAAATATGTAAGCCTTCACGGAGAAATTTTAAAAAAATACTTTCCATTCAGGAATAATATGTCAGTGTGTTCTGAACTTAACTTTAGGTCTGTTAATGAGGCTTTTGTATTTTCTTCATGAAAATCCTTTATTGCTTTTGCTAATTGATTTCCAAGTTGCTCCCAGCATCACTATTGTGAGTGACAATTTAATCACTATTCTGGATTACAATTTTTTTTCCAATTTTCATTTCAAAATTGTGAAGTATTTCAACCTGCGGAGAGGTTTGGAGAGTAATAGAATAATATATAAATAATAAAGATGACACCCATGTATCATCGAGATTTTACCTGTGTTAACATATAGTCAGATTTTCAGATTTTGATTTGTTTTTTCATGTCAAGCATCACAGGTGTCTCTTCCCCAACTCTTTCCCCTCTCTCCCCTCAGGTGCTACTTTCTTGAGGTTGGGCAATCTATCTAGTCCATGTTATTGTTACTTTACTACTTATGTATGAATCTCTGTATAACATAGAGATTTTGTGTCTTTTATTTCCACGTAAATTGTATCTTGTGGATAAGTGCACAGTTTACTTTTTGCACTCAGTTTTTGGAGAACTGTCCATCTTGTATATATGTTAGTCTTTTTTTTTTCTTTTGAGATGAAGTCTCTCTCTTGTCCCCCAGGCTGGAGTGTGATGGTGCGATCTCCGCTCACTGCAACCTCTGCCTCCCGGGTTCAAGCGATTCTCTTACCTCAGCCTCGCGAGGAGCTGAGATTACAGGCGCCTGCCACCACGCCTGGATAATTTTTGTATTTTTGGTGGAGATGGGGTTTCCCCATGTTGGCCAGGCTGGTCTGGAACTCCTGACCTTAGGTGAGCCCAGTCCGTTTGTTTTAACCACCCCCTATTGCTCCTTTTCTCATACCACAATTTCTCTCTTCCCTGCCACTAAATATTTAGGCTTACAATTTTCCCATGCTAAAGTTTAAGAGAATCACTGAAAGAATGAAAACAATGTGTAGTTTTCATTTTCAACCGGCTGTTACTACAGAGGAAAGTTACTGGCTTTGTTTACATTTCTTAGATCTAGTCATTTTAACAAATTAAATGCTGGGATTACAGGCGTGAGCCACGCACCCAGTAAATAATTATATTGCCAATGAATAATGAGTGTACTTATTCTGAATTTTAACATTATCTCAAAAAAAAGTTATAGATATGGAAATATTTTAGGAAATTATGCAGTAAGTAAAAGGAAGGCTCTATAACAAAATAATGATAGCATCGGGTTAAAAATCAGCGGAGGCCATAGGAGAAAGTAAACTCCTGCGCGTCCGCCCCCAGGCAAGTCCACGGGGCTAATAACCCAGTACCCGCGGCAGCTCCAGCGTTGGGCTGGGGAAGCTCGGGGACTCCGCGCACGCGCACATCCGTGTCCCGGCAGCCGCGCAAGCGCAATCGCCGTCGCCCGGAACATGGCTGCCGCCGGCCGCCAACCGTAAGTGCCGACACATCTCTGAGCCCTGCGCTGCCTTCGTTTCCCCCGGGGGGACGGCTTGGCGGGTGGAGGACAGGGCTGAGGATTACTTGAGCCCTGGAGTTTGAGAGC